AGGGAGGAAAAAGTTTTCCTTGACCCTCTTAGGGTCCCTGGCCAGGTCTGAAAATTAAACGAAGACAAATTAATAAGAGGAAAACATATAAATTTAATATAAGTTTTATGTGACACGAGAACCTTCATGAGGAAATGAAGAAGCAATTAGAACCAAGAATTAGACCTGAGTATTTTTATGCTAGGTTTGATGAAGAATAGACAGTCTTGTAGAAATACAAAAGGTCAAAGAGTATGAGGTGAGTGTAGTAAACTGAAGCAAACTTAGCAAGGCCTTTCTGTTAGGATTCCTCCTGGTGTCCCTTTGTCTTCAAAGATAACGATGCTCCTTTCCCCTGGGTGCGAGGAGGGTGAAGAGGACACTTCTCACATGAGGCTCTTATGACCTGTTTCAGGGGAGAAGGGAGGAGGGAAGGTCAGAGTGACTTCCTGCACTTGTCGTTTCTCAAACTCCTTCAGCTTAAAATATTCAATATGCCAAAGTGTCATATTTGGGGTAGCGTGTCCTGAACCCCATCAAAGACCATGGAGATTTTTGGAGTTGGTACAGTAGAAAAGGTCGTTATTTCCTGCACTATTTATGAGGCTAAGTCTGTATTGTATTTCGAGAGTCGGCAAAATATCATCTCCTTTTATTTTTATTTTATTTATTTATTTTTTGAGGAAGATTAGCACTGCGCTAACATCTGCCGCCAATCTTCCTCTTTTTGCTGAAGAAGACTGGCCCTGAGTTAACATCCATGCCCATCTTCCTCTAATTTATATGTAGGACACCTACCACAGCGTGGCTTGACAAGCAGTACGTAGGTCCGCACCCGGGATCCAAACAGGCAAACCCTGGGCCGCTGAAGCAGAATGTTCGAACTTAACCACTGCGTCACTGGGCCAGCCCCAAAGTGTCATCTCCTTTTAGAGGCCTTTCCTGACCTTCCAATCTCAATTAGCTTCTGTATTACTCTTGAATAGGATTCTGTCCTTTTGTTTTATAGCAGTGATCGCAATTTATAACTACATATTTATGTTAATTGTTTACTCTCTGACTCTTCATTAGACTGTAATTTCCCTGCAAGCAGGATCACATCTGCCTTGTTCACTGCTGAATACCTACAGCTCAGTCTGGCACATAATAAATGCTCAAGGAACATTTGTTGAACAGATGAATGAAGAGTAAATACCTAGAAAGAGGAGAATGAGGAAGAAAATTAGAGGGCATAGGTCAGAATTCTGAAGAACTCAAATGGTCAGTAAGAGGAAAATGAGATTGAGAACGAGCAGTCAAATATAGTTAGGAAGAAAACCAGGAGAACATAGTCTCGGAGAAGCCTATGGAAGAGTGTCAAGAAGAGAATGGTCAATAGCATCAGATACTGCTGGAAGGTTGTGTAATGACTGAGAAGCAGTCGTTGGATATAACAATAAGAACATTATTGATGATCTGAGTAAAAGCAATTTTTGTGTTATGGTAGAAGTAAAGACTAAATAGAGACTTCTAGTCCATATGTTGAACTAAGGTATTGCAGAAGCCCCATCTTTCCATAAAAATGTAGAAATAGTGGATAAATATTACCTTAAGTCTTTGACAATACACAAGAAAATTCAAAAGTGAAAAAGGACGATCTCCAGGTGACCGAAACAAAAGCAGCAATTCAAAGCCAAAGCAAAGTGCAACAGTTGAAGCTAAATGGCCATCAGGAGTGTCAGAACTCGAGCTGTACCCTGGGGCTTAATGTGAAGCCACAGTCCTGACACAGAGCCGTGAGCTTCCTGCAGAAAACCAGGAGCCAGGAAGTCCTGCCCAGTTCAAGATAAATCAGGACTCCAGGCCTAGGGATGCAGAATGTAGGCACAGTGTCCATTCTGGGATTAGACCATAAGAAATTGAAACCCCACTTCTGAATTTGTACTAAAAATCTGGGAAATTAAAGGTAAAAGCAAAACTGACCTGGATCCAGTGAAATCCACAGAGTGCTGGCAGAAAAAGAACACAAAACTATAGAGATAGACACCTACTATCCAGGGTTCAAGTGGGACTTCTACAGAAAACAAGTCTCCTGCTGATGTTGAGCCCACAGTCAAATTTATAGACCAAGAAGAGAAATAAACCATTTCAGGGAGAGTCAGCAGCGACAATAAACAGGGTAATCCCTATTTCTGAAAAGTTGGGGCCGGCCCGGTGGCGCAGCGGTTAAGTTCGCATGTTCCGCTTCTCGGCGGCCCGGGGTTTGCCGGTTCGGATCCTGGGTGTGGACATGGCACTGCTTGGCATGCCATGCTGTGGTAGGCGTCCCACATATAAAGTAGAGGAAGATGGGCCTGATGTTAGCTCAGGGCCAGGCTTCCTCAGCAACAAAGAGGAGGACTGGCAGTAGTTAGCTCAGGGCTAATCTTCCTCAAGAAAAAAAAAAAAGAAAAGTTGTATAAGGCAATATGAAAGAGACTTTAACATAAATATCTTCAAAATTTTCAATAGGATCAAGGCAGGACTAGGATCCATAAGGTATGAGCAGCACATTGTGAAAAACTAGCAGACACATTAGAAAAGATGAAACAGAAATTGTGAAAATTATATATGTGTGTATGTATGTATATATTCATATATAATTTTTAATATATATTATTGTAAAATATATAATATATGTATGTATATCAATGAAATAAAAACAGAACCAAACAATAGACTAAACCCAACTAGAGGGGTGATTAGTGAAGCACTCAGATTCTACACAGAAAGATAAAGAGATGGAACTAGGAAAGAGAAGTAAGGAGTCATGAAGGAGAGAATGAAGTCTCACATACACCTAATGGAAGTTTCAGAAGAAGAATAGAGAGAGATTTAAGGAGAGCCAGTGGATGGGGGGTTGATGGCTAAATTTCCAGAATTGAAGAAAAACAGTTGAACAATTGAAGGAGCACAATTGAAGAGGAATGCAGTGAGTAGGAATATTTTTAATGTTTTAAATATATTCAAATATCAACCAAATATGAGTTGTCCCTCTCTAAAAGGGACATTGAAATTTATATAGAGAAATTACTAGGAATATATGTGTAGACACACACACACACACACACACACATAATATAATATTTAATAAAATCAGAGTGCATGGTGAATGTGAAGTAAGGAAGTGGGGATTGTTGGTAAAGACAAGTTCTTTTCAAGAATTTTGGCTATGAAGGGTAAGAAAGATTGAAGAGGAGCTGAATGAGCTTGTCTGACATATTAATTTATGCTATATGAATAGCAAATTCAGCTCAGCAACCTTATGTGTACATTTGCATGCACACACATTCATAGAGCCAGTAGTATAAAATGGCAGCCGACTTTAGATTGAGGGATTTTCCAAAGCTGTTCCTTCACTTGAAGCCACTCCAGCAGCCCGTTCAGTCATTTAAAATGTCACCGTTAGAGGCGCTCTATTTTAGAATGTATAATATTGCCTCCATAAGATCCCTATTAGAATGAGCCATTTCCTGCGGCAAGTGGGGGGGGGGGGTTCATGAGGACATATTAGTGCTCATTAACCCAGCACTGATGAAAGTATCTGATTAACTAGCTATCTTATTGGAAAGCATTGGCCCAGGGATGGGATGCAGGAAGGACAATTTTAATGAAGGAGAAGAACTAGGACAGCCTGGATCCTAAAGTCTTGTCCGGACAAGCAGGTTCCTTTGGGGCCTCATAAGGACAGTAGGCATCTGGGCTGAGGTGCTGGCTTTACAGCATTGCCGGAGGCCTGCCTGGAGTGTACACACATGTACACACACACACAAATGTACACACACTATGTTGTTTTCGTTCTTCTTATAGTGAGATAGGGCACTATTGTTTTCCTTAACAACTCTAAGTATATATTTTTTCAGACCAAAGGATACCAAGATTCTGATAGAGAAAGTAGGCACTGGTATTTTAGGGGCAGGAAGAAGAATGCAGTAAGTAGGAAGATTTTTTAATATGTTTTCAATATATTCAAATACCAACCAAATCCCAGTTGTCCTTTTCCAATAGGAATACTGAAATCTACATAGAGGAATTACTAGGATTATCTAGCCTGGACAGTCATCATTCCATAATCTTTAATTCATTTGTTAGCTTGAAGTTTTATGATCATCATAATAAAATTATTTAATAACTGCCCACATGCAAATCTCTGGTCTCCAAGCTCACCCCAGTTATTGCAGGAGGAGAATGCCTGACTCACTGTGGCGTACGTGCCAATTTAATTTTTATTTTGATTGGCATCTTTCCAAAGGGATTACTTCTACTAAACCCTCTGCTGATGGCAGTTGTAATTCGATAAACTATTATATACTTGAACATCACCATTGACAATATGTCCCGAACAAGATCAGTGGGAAAGGGAAGACAATTGGTTTACAAGCAAGAAATAAACAACTCACACATGTCCATCAGAATATCCACATAGCACATTTTATTTCTCCTGATACCCAGAATGCTTCATGACCTGCCAGTAATCAATATTTCACAGAAAAGTACACTCTTGGAGAGTGGTTACACTGGAAGATCAACTCGTTGCCAAGTGATTTGAAGTGTTAGGGCATAAAAAATCCAAGGTTTCGTAAATCCTCTCAGCTGAGGGGAAGTAATATGGCCTGGTAAGAAGTGTTCAGCACCAGGAGTCAGTTTAACCCAGATTTGAAGTCTGGCTTTATCCAATTTCATTCCCCGACTTCCTAGCTCTTCCTCATTCTCCAAAATTCATCTTCAGTGAGATGGTTTTGTGTGTGTGTGGTTTTATTTTAAAGATTGGCACCTGAGATAACAACTGTTGCCAAACTTTTTTTTTTATTTTTTTGCTTTTTCTCCCCAAATCCCCCCAGTACATAGTTGTATATTTTAGTTGTGGGTCCTTCTAGTTGTGGCATGTGGGATGCTGCCTCAGCATGGCCTGACAAGCGGTGTCATGTCTGCGCCCAGGATCCGAACCGGTTAAACCCCAGGCAGCCGAAGCGGAGCACGCGAACTTACCCACTCGGCCACGGGCTGGCCCCCAGTTTTGTGGGTTTTTTCCTTTTTCTGAAGCTGACTCCAATTCCTGCCCTCCTGTCCCCAGAGTTAGCTGTGTCTGCTTTTGTGTGCCCACAACACTTTGGACATTTGGTACTACTCTTACAGTGTTTAATCACATTTGTGTTTTAGTTATTTTCTTTACTTCTCTTTCTCCTCCACTCGAGGCCAGGGACAATCACTAGAGAGTCAATAGAGCACTTTTAAGAACATGGGATATGAAGTCCCAATGCCTGGCTTTGAATCCATTTGGCTCCACCACCTCCTACCTGAATGGACTCATTAACCTCTCTTAGCCTCAGCTTCTTCATCTGTAGAATGAGGATAAGCTCATGAGGGTGTTGTATTAAATGAGTGAATAAGGATACAGTACTTAGAATAGTGCCTGGGATATAGGTAGTGCTCAATAAATAAATTATAGCTATTAGTACCTTTGCATCCTTCAGGGGGTAGCTCAGAAAATGGCAAATTGTTTGCAGTCAATTCCAAATGAATGCACAAATGAATGAATGAATGAACAATTTGGCCCAGGACAAATTCATTTAACATCTCTTGCCTCAGATCTCTTCTCTAAAATGAGACTGTTAATTGAGCATCAAGGCCCCTGTTAGGAAATCAGGTTCTAAAATTGCTTGAGGTCTTCAGTGGTTGCAGAGAAGTTACTAAATAATTTCAGTCTCTTTCTACTTTTAGCTGTTTGTCAGAAGGGAAACGTTAGAGCAAGTTAGTTCGAATGGATACTGGAGAACCCCCTGATTGCAAAAGGATAGTCATGGGCTTCAGACCGTGGAAGTAAATACACTGTGTGTAATATTTTTCTCTCTTTTGGCTGAACTCAAGCTTCCTGTAGCTGAAAGCAGATGGCAGACAAAAAGCTTACAGTGTGGAAAGCCAGTTTTCTCTGTATGGAAAGAGCTGAGAGAATTGGGAGTGCCTTAACTTCTTATCTCTGCTAAGTAGTGATGCAGATAAAGGCCAGTAAGTGTCCTTTGGGTCTCATAGCATTCCAAAGCCCCAGATTACCTGAGTCAGACCAGGTCCTGTGTCAAAGTGCTCTCTGTGCTGAGGCACTAAGAATGACATTAAGCAGTGATTTATAATTATTTAATTTTAGTGAGAAAGGTAGTGATGCTTTCTTTAAATATTGTTCCAAGAAGTTATTGTTAAAAGTGTGTGAACTATATTCATAACTATAACAGGTCATATCCATTAGGTCATACGCTAATAGGTCATATCTAGTCTTGTTTGTTTTGTTTCATAATTCAATTTTGTTTAAAAAAAGAAACAAAAAACATAACTGAATTGAAAGTCATGCCATATTCCATCTTTTTCTGTTACCCAAGCTAAGAGACAGCCATATCCAGGCACCACTGTTCAGTGACCTAAATTTCAGACCCAGTGCCAAGGAGGAAACAATCGTATTTAAAGGGCTTGCTTTGTACACATGATTGCCTGAGATTCTTTAGTTTAAATACTGGCACTGCCACCTGGGTACAGGCCAGGAAACCATAGATATATCACTTAGTCTCTCTAGACTTCACTTTTCTCATCTGTAAAGTGGCAATAATGATAATACCTACCTTACAGGTTGTTGTAAGGGTTAAAAAATAGTGTTACAGCACTTAATTTGCTTGTCCAATTATAGCCACAGCATTGATTGAGCGTTATCACTATTTGAAACCCAGTTTTGGCAAAAAAAAAAAAAATCTTAAGCAGAGTGGCGAGTTTAAAAACCATCTAGGGCATCTGCACAGTTCTTAGGTAGATCATGGACTTGTCCTTCGTCCCCTCCCTAGAATCTGGAGGAAACCATTTCCTCCAAATTCAGCATGTTCTCCTGCCCAAATCCTGGTTGGTGTCCAAAAAGAGAAGTGTTAAGACTCTTAATCCCGAGAGAGCACTGAAGTAGTTTCCCGTTATCTCTCTGCTCCTTTAAAAAATGACAACTGTTGATAGACAATTGGTGGAAGCAGTGCCGTTGGCAATCCAGAGTTCCCTGTGCTGGTTGCGAATCCTGCCCCCTTATCCTAAGTAATAATGAACATTAGATCATTTGCAAATACTGCGTTCCCTTCCTCAATCTTGAGTTTAGGTCATCTTCCTCAAGAAATCCTATTTCTTGAAACAGCTTAGATCCAGAAAAATTACTGATTGTCTGCTTTTGCCTCAAATCCTCCATCATGTTTTTCCTAGCTTTTCATTTAGATTACTTAGTTCACCAGGCAAGAAATGAACCCAGTGTTATAGATATTTTGCCTCTGAGTCTTGCACATTTTTAGTCTGCCATAAATGTTTCATCATAGAAACACTTCATTTATATTTGCTAGCCACCAGTCAGTTCATAAAATAGCAAATATTCCTTCAAGATATTCAAATATTAGTGAATAAAACTGAATCGAACTCAAAGAAGCTGGTGCTTTTGTTGGCTCTGAATGCTCTGTCACCACTGAGGCAACCCATTTGGTTAAGAATGAATTTATTGGATGTACAAAGTTTTTCCCACATGTTGGATGAGAGAAACTTTCAAAAATGGATGTGACTGCCTTGACCGACATGCTCAAAGTTCACCCAAAATGATCTTCCAAAGGCAAGGGCACTAGCTATCTCCATGCCCCATCAGACAGGATCTTAAACTTTCTCAATAATGATCTTGCTGTCCCTTTCCCCATGACCACTTCTTGGTTGCAGGTCATGGGTATACAAATAGTAGTGTAGTTTTTATGACAGAATGAGAACCTTGGAGACATCATCCCACATACCCACTGAGATAGATAAAATTTCTGTTGTATTCATAAAAGCTTCTATAGGAGAATCAGCAATTAATTATGGTATTTAACAACCCTTACTGAGACGAATGTTTCCCTTGTACAAAACTTTAAATCCCCGTATGTTGGAGCTTAACCTCATTTCCTTGTGTTCTCTCCTAATGATCATGAGAGAAACCTCCACCCCAGCAATCCTATATTTTCTCCAGGTTTTCTTGATTAAATGACCAAGCAGGTAATCAGAGGCCTTGAACTCTTGATGTTGCAGCTGCTATGGCTAATTAAGTGGCAAAGAGCTGAATTCATAGATATGATTAATACTGTCAGGGTGCTTTATGGTTTTAATGTTCATAAATTATGACTGAACAATGAAATTTTTATGTGGGTTATAGGATTTTTCTTCTTCGGGATTAGAATTAACCAGTGTGTTCCCAATTGATTTTAGGTATAAACTAGAGGTGACTTCAGTAAATTCTATAGCTTAAGTATTTAGAGAATGACCTCAGAGAGAGGACATAATGCAGACCAAGCCACCATCCTAGTGCAATGCAAGCCCAGGGTTCTCTGGCTTGTCATTCTGAATGCAAATCAGGAGAGCCAAACAATTTCTAAAAGAATGGTCCTGGAGACCTTTGTTTCTGAAGCATAATTCCCCCAAATGATCTGACTAGGAGAGACTCTTTGCCAGCTAATAAACGTGTCAGGTTATGTTACAGAATACAGTAGTCACACTTTCTGTCCCTGAAATTCCAGTGTGACATTGACAAGATTTCCTTAAATGCATTTTCTTCTTGCTTGGAGTTAAGTGGCAGAGCCTTTGCTAATGGCCTTTCTCTAATCTCCTCATTTGTATTTCTATCCAGTCATTTCCCTGGGCTTTTGGACATAATGAGACCACAAAAGGTGGTACTTGCTGCCCAGTCTCTTAAATACCCCCTCTGCTGCCCTACTCAGTTAATGGTGAGATCTAGTGTTGCTTGACCTTGTGCACGTGAACCAGCCCCTCCTTCCTCCCTTTGAGCTCATCATCAGCCCGGGACCTGGTAACCAGTCACTCAGATGTTTTGATGGACTGTTAGTGAAGATGGAGAGCAAACTGGCAAGTGGCTCCAATTATGTTTATCTTCACAAAGGGAGGGTGTTTGAAATCTCTCGTTTTCAGAGTTTCGGAAAGACAGCCAATTCCTTTCTGCTCAAAAAGTACTGAGGCTGCTCCTGATTAGGCTGTCTGAATTCTCTCATTTTTACTCATCACAGTCACATCTGTTTGGGTTTCTCTCTCTCTCCTGGAGATGCCTCCTGAGAGCAGGTCCCTTCAGCTTCTTTACAGCTCATCTGAGGCCTGCCAAAAGAGATTGGCAGGGAACGATCAGCATTCTATGCTCTGATAACTCACATAACTCTCCCTTAAAAGAATGCTAAAACCTGGTTCTCAAGTGAAGCCATGAGGAATGGGGCCAAAGAGACTTCTGTATTTCTCTTTGGAATCCAATTTAGACTTTATGTTCTGGTAGGGTGGGAAGGGAAAGGGGAGAGAAGTATGAGGAGGGGAAGATAAAAAGGTAGGAGGAACATATACAAAAGAATCATAGACTCCCAGAGCCAAAAAGACTTTAAGGAACGTCTCATTCAGAGGTTTTCAAATGTTTTGTTTTTAGCAGCGGACTCTTTTTATTTTTTTCATAAGAAATCATACAATGAGCCCCAGCATATAAAAGAGCGGAGGTGCTGCAGTTGAAACATGGTGAGGGAACTTATATCACCTCCATGTACTCTCAGGGCTCCGCAGAATACAATTTGAAAGTCACTGAGTCTAAAGATGGCTAAAGACTTTAAAGATCGGAAAACTGAAACTCCAGCAGGAGAAATGACATGCCCAAGCTTACACAGCCAGTTAGTGGCAGAGACTAAAGTGGATTAAAATGTATGCCTCCTGTCAGGCTAGAACTCTTTGTGAGTTGAGTTGGAGAAAGGAGCTAAGGATGCTTCTTTCCTTAACATGGTCCAGGACAGAACTTGGTGGACGGTGCAGTGGAGGGACGAAGTCTGGGAGAAGAAAAGGCAAGTGGACCACCCAGCATAGAGGAGTTGGGAGCCCTGGGGTTAAGCAGGGAGAATTGAAACTGTGAATCTAGAGGAGATCCCAGGAAGTTACATAGCAAAGGTACAGTGTGAACTGGTGGGAACTGAGCAAGACAAGAGAAAAAGGCACTTTGGAAATAAGCGTCAAAGGAAAGTTCTTTATTCTTCCTCCCATTAAAATGCCATACTACTGGTCTGGAGGGGCAGTAAGGCAGAGAGAAAAGGCAAAATATGCTTTTCTAGGGTAGGCTGCAATTCTTTCCTTTACTGCGCCTTCCTAAGATGAATGGGGTTTTGGCACAATTCTCCTTTGAGGATTTGAGAGTTATATTCACACTCTTCTCTGAGTTCGGAAGCACTGGAGAAATACATAAGAGAGTTAGGAATAGATCAAAATATTTGTTTAATTAATGGCTAAGATGATTGCACAATTTGATTTGGACCCAAAGTCAAAATGGCTTTCCTTCACTTTCCCCCTAGTTGCTCCCCCTCTAGTCACAGGCCTCTGTGAGTTCTCTTACTGGAGGAGAGAAGAGAATGCATGTGGTCTGTAGGCAGACAGATCACAGAGATTTAGAGGCCCCTATCTCTAGCCTCACCAATCATGTGTCATTTCTTTTCTTGTCCATGGAGATGAAAGAAGACAGGGGGTGATATAAAAAGGCAGAAGTACATTTTATGGACTGACAGGAACATGTGGCAGGGAGAGAGTCGGGTTTCCCTATACCCCTCATCTTTCAAGATTAAACAATTATTAATTTGAAGAGAGAGGTTAGAGCAAGAAAGGTGTCTATAAACACCCATAGAATCATCCAGTTATCACCTTGGCCCAGGGGTTCCTTGAGGTCAGGGCATAGAGTTTAATTCTCTAATTTATTAAAAAAAAAAAAAAGCTGAGGGTGGTGGATAGGGGTGAGTAACAGAGCTGATGTATTTACATGTTTGTGTTTCAACTTTGTAATGATGTGCCCCTCCTCATTATATATTCCAGAAGTCTTCTCTGCATCTATTTACCTCCAATACCCACCTCAGAGTGGCCATACACGTAACTGTCCAGGCATCCTGAAAATACTTTAGGAATGGTGTTTGCACAAGCAGTGAGTGCTTCCCGATGGAGAAGTGGAGGAAAGAGTGTGGGAAAGCCCTCCTCATTTTCTCAGTACCATCTCCTCATACTTCCCAAGTTCTCTCCCTTGCTTGAGTCAGAACTCCGTCCTTCTTTAGCTTTTTCACGTCTGCTTTGGTTCAGGGTCCTAAGAGAGAAGCAAGAAGAAAGAAAAAAAGGCCCTTGGGGTTGGTGCTCAGCAGAAGGTAAAAAGAGGCAGAGAGCAAGTAGAAACCTCTTAACTGTCCCTCCCACACCCCAGATATATGGCCCTGGTCAGAGCTTCTTCTGACCCCTCTTTTGGTTGGATTATTTCCCTTCATGGTACTTGGAATTTGAGTTGCATACATTCTGACCCAGGAAACATCCTCCTACCCTTCAGAATCAATATAAATCATTTGTCATTTATTTTCAACAAACATTTATGGGGCATCAACTATGTGACAGAAACTGTGCCGGGAGATGGGAATTTAGTGGTGACCAAGACCCAGTCCCGATTTTCAAGGCGTTCAAAGTCCAGTGGGAGCAGAGCAGGGTTCTCCCTCCATGAATTGAAGTCTGAATGTGGATACTTGCATTGCCTTGAGGTGCTAAAACTCTCTTCTACCTTGTCCTCCCTTTTCCTTTGGGAAAACCAAAAGCACAAACAAGTAGACTAACCTGCAGGGAATTTCAGACCAGTTGGCATCATTCTCCTGTAACTATCCATCTCAGCCCCTGCAACCTTCAGCCCAGGCTGCCTTTGCAGACGCATGCTAGTGCTTCTGATAGGGCAGGAGACATTTCAAGATTGGGGAGAAGTGGAAGGGAGGGTGGCAGCAGCCTCCCCTGTGGAGCAGTGAAATCTACAGAAGGGTCAGGTCAGCTGTCAGCTCTGATGGGCTAAGACGCCTGAAAGAGTTTCCTAGTTGGGAGCTCAGGCAAGAAAAGAAGGGCTGGAGCCTGGGCATTTGGTTTTGCATCTACATCAATTCTGAAAATATCTGGAAGGGGGCAGAGGTCCAGTAAAGAGAGTGTGGTGGCAGCTCCAAGATAGAGCAGCCCTACTGTGGGGGGCTTCCTTTTGGGCATCAGAAATGCAGTAAAATAGTAAAACAATCGTGTCTCTTTGAAGGTGGAGATGTGGATGGGCCATTCTCTTTTGTTGCATTCTTGACCTCAGAACTCCTCCTTTCTTCTTCTCCAGATTAAAACATAGGGAAAGGACAGAAATTGTGACTACAGCGAAGCGAGCAAAAAGACAGACTTGATTCCTGAATTGGAGGGAAGGGAGGCTGCTTGAGCTTGAGCAGAAAAAAAAAAAAGTAGATTGGAGATGGGCCAGAGCTTAAAAAAAGAGGCTTGGCTCTGCATTTCCCAAATACTGCTTATGGTACACGACCCCAGCTCTCTGCTTGGATCCCAAACCCGAACGGAACGATGAGGGGCCGCAGAGGAAAAACGGGGTACTGAACGCACAAATTGGCATGAAATGAAAAGTCAGCAAAAACCACTGGGTGGCAGCGTGGTGTGCGGGCGCAGCTCTGCAGTGCCTGCTGCTACTGCTGCTGCCGCTGCCGCGAGGGCTGAACCCGTCTGGGAGCCCTGGCCTCTCTCCTGAATGGCTACAAGTGTCGCCATGCGAAATACCTCAGCTGGGGCCTCGGTGTGTGGGGATGTTGTGAGTCCCAGCCTGGGGCAGGGGGCTGGCGAACTTCCCAAGGGCTCCAGGCCGGGTGTAATCTGGCCAGCTAAGATTCAAACACTAACGAAACACCCTACCCCGCCATTCCCCATCTCCAAGCAACCCCCCGGCTCCTCCAACCCAACCACCTCATCCCGGTACCTCCTCCATCGCTGTTTCCTCCCGAAGCTCCTTTAGGGAAGAGGAGGGGAGAAGGATTTGGGCGATGTGGCAGTGCCTAATTCCCTACAGGTGTTAGCCCAAGCGGTCCGCCGGGGACTTGGGGGGTGGGGCGGGTGGGGGCGGCAGGCGGCCGGGAGCCAGTGGGCTGGGCTCCGGGAGGGAGGGGCCGCCGGGGGAGGGGGCCTAGCGGAGGCCGTCGCGCTCTTCCGGAGGGTGCCTGCGGCGACTGAATTCCTGTGCTGAGACTGTGCCGCGCCCAGGGCAGCAGCAGCAGCAGTAGCAGTAGCAGCAGCAGCAGCAGCAGCAGCAGCAGCAGCAGCAGCAGCACCAACAACAACAGCGAAGATGCGAGGCCATTACCTGTTTGATCCCTGTCGGAAAGCTGGCATGGGCCAACTTTTCCCGATTGTCAGGCCAAGAAGTTGCAAGGACTAGTCGGAGGCTCGGAGGGGCCAGGGCGAGGGCGCGCTCCCCGCGCGCTTCCTCCTTCCCTCCTCCCTCCTGCCGCCCGCGCTCGCGGCCTGCCTCCGCCCGCGCTCTCTCCCTCCGCCCGCCTCCCTCCTCGGCCCCCTCCGCGCGGCACAGGGCGGGGGGTGCCGCGAAACTCCGACCCGAGCCGCTTGGACTCGCACAGTGTCCTCGGGGCGCAGGGGCCGAGCGCACGCAGTCGCGCAGCTCTGCCTCCGCCTGCCAGTCTCGCCCGCAATCCGGCCCGCGGCTGTGGCGTCGGCTCGGACCCTGGCAGCCAGCAGCCCGCGCGGGAGCCGGACCACCGCCGGAGGAGCTCAGACGGCATGCTGAGCCCCCTCCTCGGCTGAAGCCCGAGTGCGGAGAAGCCCGGGCGAGCGCAGGCTAAGGAGACGAAGGCGGCGAAGGCGCGAGACCAAGCGGGCGAGCCCGGAGGAGCGGGAGGAGGAGGCGAAGCCAGAGAGGGGCAGCAAAAGAAGTGGTGGTGGTGGGCGTCGTGGCCATGGCGGCGGCTATCGCCAGCTCGCTCATCCGTCAGAAGAGACAAGCCCGCGAGCGCGAGAAATCCAACGCCTGCAAGTGTGTCAGCAGCCCCAGCAAAGGCAAGACCAGCTGCGACAAAAACAAGTTAAACGTCTTTTCCCGGGTCAAACTCTTTGGCTCCAAGAAGAGGCGCAGAAGGAGACCAGGTCGGAAGGGGCTCTTGGCTGTCTTTTTTGTTTTTTGGTTTTTTTTCATACTTTACGAGCGCGGAGGGGCTGGAGGGCGTGTATATGTAAGCGTAGGTGAGTTTGTCGGTGGCCCATCTTGCGCGAATGTGGCCACCTAGCTGGTGTGCGTGCGTGGGCAGAGATCGCTTTCTCGCCTCCTTCGTAACAGTAACAGGCTTGCTGCATTGCAACTGCTGTGGGACAGGCGCAGAGCCTGGGGCCGTACCCTGCCCAGGAGGCGCGCCCTCAGCTTCAGACATGCCACATGTGTGCATGCCCCTAGGCCCCTGGCAGGCGTGACCCAGACATGGCTGTCGTGTGTGTGTGGCGTGGAAATTGCAGGCGTGGCGCTGGGCAGACACCATGCCCCCCCCCCCCGGAGAACCTGGGGAATCCCTTCCTTGCCTTTATGTCTGCAAGTCTGACCCTTCCCTTCCAGCTTCCACCCCTAGGGACGTGGACTTGCGCTATCCAGGCATTCTGTTTCTTTGATCACTTTTAAGCTTATTGGGACAGGCTTGACTTGTGGTGCAGCTTTGAAATATTTGTTGGAGAGGGGGGAGTGGATTCCTAGAACCTTATGGCAAAGAGCTTCGTGATGTGGTCCGACTAGTAAAACTGTGGTTACTTGCTACTAAAATGCAAGATTGAAGAGAGAACTTAAACTCATAGCCAGGGTCCTTTTGAACCTATTTGGTGGTAAGAGTAGCGAGATATTCCAGTGCAAGAGGAAATTCGCACAGCTCTAGGTGTCAGGTTGCGTCAAGGTAGACCTTCATGCGAACATGCGGCTTATTTGGCCATTCTTGACCAAGTGAATCCTTCACGCTGTTTTCTTACTTTTAACTGGATAAGTATTATAGAATTTCAGACTTATTCATCATCTGTTATTTCTCTGTTTATGTGTTCTACGCACCCTGGAATGAAAATGCAAACATACATTTTCTGTTTGCTCAAAGTTTTTAAGGCATTAGCTGTAAATTAGACCTGTTTTAAAAAGGCTTAAGCATTTGCAAAGTGTGAGTATGTGGTCCAAATAATCACATAAATATTATTTCAATGCAGGTGTCTGTGTTAAATAAAAGCGAATTTTGGATAACACAGCTGTTACTGGTAAATTAGGTACTTTATTAATCTATGGTGATTCATAATTGAAAAACATTTTAATTAAGACCATATTTTGGATAATTATATTTCTGATATTAAATTAGAAAATACGTATGAACTAATTTTCTTTCATCTTCACCAACAAAACCCTGCTCTTTTTGCACCCATTTCCCTATTGATAATTAATATGATAGGGTGTGGTAATGGTTGTTTTATTCTCTCCTCCCCCCTTCTCTCTATCACTGCTCAATTTTCTAAATATGTGTCTTTTGATGGGATTCCAGGTTACTTATGCCCTTTCAACCTTCTTAGAATGGAGGGGACTATTTATTTCAAATTTCAGTGATTCTTAGGGAAATCTTTACTAGTGTGTTTTTGGTCCCTGGTTGGCAAACCACTCTAAATTATCTTTGCATTTCTCCTTTTCCTTCCACATGAAAAGTGGCACATTGTTAGAAGGCAGAATATGCCATTTGCCAACCCATTCCGAATGCTCAATGAGATAGACTGCCACTCTGTAAGCCAAAGGACACGCTCTCAGAAACTGTAGCTGATGTCAGAGCTTTAGGACTTTACCAGTGTTACCAGGTAGAAATCAAATGTTTTTTCAGTTTGGAGATTTATTCTACAACTTGGAGTTTCTTTCAGAGGATTCTTTAAAAGTATAGTTTGACTTTTTTCCACTAAAATTTGTAAAGAAAATTAGAATTTTGATTTTTGAGTCTTTTCAACTACTTATGCACAACTTATCAATTGATCGAAACCGTTGTTCTCTTTGCAGAGCCTCAGCTTAAGGGTATAGTTACCAAACTATACAGTCGACAAGGCTACCACTTGCAGCTGCAGGCAGATGGAACCATTGATGGCACAAAAGACGAGGACAGCACTTACAGTAAGTGACTGCAAAATAAATAGTATATCCCAGCGTGTTGTTGACATTGTGTTTTCTTTCTCTATATTTTAAAATAAACCACTCTTGCTGAATCCTGCAGTGAATGCAAAATAGAGTTGTACTATATCATCCTGTTTATGCACGTTAACCTAAATGAAGTGGAACATGGAAATAGCTAAAATAGTGAACTATAGCAAATACTGTTGACACCATCTGAAGAACAATCCAAATGTCATCTCCATGGTAATCTGGATAGATTTATGGCTGTCCTTTGGATTTTATTACTTTTTTCCCACAGAAAATTTACTCACCCACACACTGATCCTGAAATAGCACGTTATCTCTACTCTTAAGAACCCGTCTCATCCCAAGAGAGAGGAGTGGTTTCAGGTCATGAGAAATCATCATTACAAGCTTTCACTTCTGCTCCCCCCTCCACACATACTGATAACTCTGAGACTAATTGGGATTTTAACATTGAGATACCTCGACAGGTGGGTAAAGCGATTTCTTTTAGTGCTTTATTTTTAGCCATGGTTTAAGTAAAGACCAAATTGGAGACCATAATGGTGAACCTAAAATGGAAATATGTCAAAATAAAGTCAGTTTTATTTCTAGTTATTGAAGTAAGGTGATTCCAAGATGTTCCACAACCTTTTATTACACATGCTTTATGTATTTGGAGTAATAAAAACATAAACTCACAAAGAGTGAAACCCTCTCTTCAGTGATAATAATTGGTGTTTTCTTGCAAGTTACGGATTTCTGCAGACCTATGAAATGTTCCAGGAGGCTAAAACACCTAGTTCTCACAATTCATTCTCTATTTTCGCTAATTTATATTGCATTTTCTCTCAGATTTTGATGATTTTCCAGAAATATTACCATTGTCAGCTAAGACAGCAGTGAAGGAAAGCCGGTGTGGATACTAACAAGTCCTCTGCAGCATTTATAGAGATGCTTGGCTATAGACAGCGAAGTTGGAGACAAGGGTCCCAATGTTAAGTGCTAAAGAGTTTCACACCTTTTAAGAATGCTTCCTGGACTGATGGCCAGGCTATGACTTCAAGAGGAAGTCACCTTTAATTACCCTTGAAGAAAACTCTGTTGGCACCTAGGATGAAAAACATTCATACTAAATGGTTCTTCACTGTTTTGTAACATGCTATGTTACTGTTGTGATATTAAGTTTCTACAATGAGTGTCCTAGATGTTCTTTTATGCGTGTTCTTCTATTTGAAAACAGTCAAATGTAAGTAGAGGGTTTTGCTGTAATTATGTAACAGACATTAGTACATGATGATCAATAATAAAACATTCCCATAAGTTGTATGTACAAATCGGTGTTTGAGAAGGAATTAGGGGGTATAATCTGCTCTGTTTTCCAAAGTACCTCAGCAGAATGGATCCTTTGGGTATTGGAAGGAGGGTCATGATTAGCTGCTAATGATCCGCACCCAGTCAACTTTTCTCCCATCTATTTTTAACATCTTCTCCAGATCGAAATCAGAGAAAAAATTGAGTTCAGCGTTCACATGTGTTTCCTGAAAAGGAAAAATTTTTTAAAAATTAGACAATTCATTTGCTGTGCTTTATAAACAGCGATATGCAAAATGCATCAAGATCACACTGTATGTAGTCATTTTAGGATCTACACATAGATACACATACATATAAAGATACAGCCACACACATGTACACACACCTATACGTATGCAAATCAAGGCTCCATTTCTGACTATGGAGCTTTAAAATCATGTCAGCTTTTACTCTTCATTTCCTACATATGTGTAGCTTCTGCCTTTGGTTTTCTTATAATTCTGACTGATATGCATGGCATTTCTATGTACTAATGATATTGTAAGACCTTTAAAGAGCATAGCCAGAATCTGTGTTTAGGCAGAATGAAGTGATGAGAGGTAAGTCAACCAACTGTAAGTATTACCATAGCACGAAGCATAAAAATGAAAAGTATCTGAAAAGAAATAGCAGGTCTGTGGGTCGTGACTCAACTCCTAATGTCAGGTGTGTCCAGAGGCGAGGGAGCAAGCTTATCTTCCCAGTCGAGGATATGGTAGGGCATAAGTCATCAGGAAATAAGAATGTTTAGTGATGAACATGATCATTAAAATGGAAGTCTAGCCATCCAAATGTATTCTTTTTCTGTTTTCTACAGACAAGCAATTTCCTTGGCATTAATTAATTAATTATTTGAAATGAGTGGAACACGAATACAAGTTTTTTTTCATCTATCATGCTTTCATTTATGTAGTATTTCCTTAATATGTACTCTTGTTGTTCATATTTTTTATTTTTATTAATTTTTAGTGCTTTTCATTGTATTTTTCTCATTTAGTTCAATTTGATTGATTTTACGATATTTTAATTCTGACATGGTAAGCAAGATCATGATAAAACAAATCAGTCCACATTTACCGAGATACATCTATTTCTA